ATGCGTATATATTCGTATTTATATATATACATATATATAAAAAGCTCCCCGGAGAGAAAAAATGGCCTCGCCCAAAGGCCGCACGCAGCATGGGCCGCGCGGGCGAGACCACCGCTCCGCGGGGGTTGGTGGTGAAACGGCCTGCGGGAGCGGCCACGTGACGAGGCGCTTGAAGAAGGAAGGAAGGGTGGTGGGGTGGATGGGGAAGGCCGTCCGCGGGAGTCGGGCGAGGGAAGGCGGGCGATCGGGCGTCGCGGCCTAGAAGCGGCCTTCGGGGCTCCCACTCACCGGCTCTCTTGACTCGCAGACATTCTGTGGAAAAGGTCCTGGCCCCGCCCGCCTCGCGCCTCCTTATAACCGCCGTTGGGGCTCCGCCCACTGGCCGGACTGTTATTGGTCCTCGCGTTGCGCCCCGCCCCGCCCCTCCTCTCCTCTCATTGGCCCGACGCCCAGCTATCTCCCTGACCGGCTTCTCAGCCATTGGCTCCGACGCCCTTTTGGCTCCTCGGCTGAGCTGGCCCCGGCCGTCACGCGTGACGCCAGCGGACGCTGATTGGGGAAGACGGGAGCGGGGACGTCACAGCGGGACGGGGGGGGGGAAAAAGGAGGGCGAGCGCCGGCGGCTCATTGGCCAGACCGCGCGTCCGTTGGGCCGCTTACGCAAGGCTCGGCCGGCCAATGAGGGCCGACGGGAGGGAAAGGAGGCGGACCTTCGGGGCCCGGGCAGGGGAGCACGTGGCGGGGCCGGTGGCGGCTTCCGGGCCGGGCTTTGTGCACCGGGCGGGGCGGGGCGCGGGAGGAACGAGGCGGGGGGAGGGAAGAGATGCCCTCCGTTAAAGGCGCCAGACAGCGGCGCGCCCCATTTTCCGAGCCCGCAAGTTGCATTCCCACGACCCGGAGGCCTGCCCGCGTGTCTTGCCCCCCCCCCCACCGCTCCAAAATTCCCGGATCGCGACGTTTTCCCGGAAGCCGCCCTCTGCGCATGGGCAGAGGGCGCCCCCCCCCCCCCCCCCGCCTCCCCCTCCAGGCGCAGTCCACCGTCTTTCCCCGCAAATTAAGCCTTTCCTCTGTGTGTCTGTGTGTGTGCGCACATACACACACACAACACACACAGATTGACAGAGTTGGAAGGGACCTTGTAGGTCATCTAGTCCAACACACACACACACACAACACACACAGATTGACAGAGTTGGAAGGGACCTTGTAGATCATCTAGTCCAACACACACACACACACAACACACACACACACAACACACAGATTGACAGAGTTGGAAGGGACCTTGTAGGTCATCTAGTCCAACACACACACACACAACACACAGATTCACAGTTGGAAGGGACCTTGTAGGTCATCTAGTCCAACACACACACAAACACACACACACACAACACACACAGATTGAGAGTTGGAAGGGACCTTGTAGGTCATCTCATCCAACAGACACACACACACACACACACAACACACAGATTGACAGAGTTGGAAGGGACCTTGTAGGTCATCTCGTCCAACAGACACACACACACACACACAACACACAGATTGACAGAGTTGGAAGGGACCTTGTAGGTCATCT